CACCACCACCCCCACCCCCAGAGGGTTTTTCCTAGCTGTTTTTAAGCCAGTCACATGATGCCACAGGGTCTTCTACTCTGCCTCCTCACCGGTACTGGGCAGTTCTTACTGATACAGAGAAAGTTGCTTGCATGATGACGTGGTGCCATTTTCTGACACTGTACTGTGAGTGCAGGGCACCATAGTGGCTGCGCTCACAGGATCCCACATTGGAGGTTACTGGACGCCATTGACCTTGGACGATGGACCAACCTGGATCTCATAGGGACAGCACAGAAGAGTTGGTGAGTATTACAGCCAGACCTTTCATTTTAAAAATGGGAGGGGTATTCTTTTAAAAGGAATGTAAATGGGTTTGGACTTTAAGGCCAGTTTAATTTTTATAGCGGCACAGATTCTTTAATATTTTGGATGTACATCTTTAGGATTTTTAACCCTCTCGGAGGATGGTGTCTCACTGCCTCCAGCTCAGGTCCTGCTAAACTTTGCGCTGGTGCTGAGCAGTCGTACAAATGTGTGCTTTTTTTTTTCTATCCTTACAGGGAGACTCCGGGGGTCCTCTGGTCTGCTCCCAGGGCGGACAGTGGTTTTTAGCCGGGCTGGTGAGTTGGGGAGATGGTTGTGGAAAGGTGAACCGCCCCGGGGTGTACACCCGACTGACTTCCTTTCAGAACTGGATTAAGCAAAATGCTCCTGGGACAGAGAAGAACATGGTGGACGTTGTCTTCAATGTGACTGTGAACAGAGATGCCTACTTGAATTTGAGCAGCACAGCTACACCGATCTCTTCCAAAATGTGGCCAATCGTTTTATCAGCTGTTTTATATGTCTGGATGTTATGATGGCATGATTGGCCACATTTTGACCTCCAGGCCTGGGCCTCTGGAGAAGCTTATGGAAGCCTTTCCTGAGTGAAGCATTCTGCACAGCTAGTTTCTTGACTGTCGTGATAATTTTATGGCTTCAACACATTGACCCAGAGTAAGTAGGCAGATCTAAGCTTCTGAATTTACCAGGTAAAATGTAGAAGCTCTTGACCTCCATACTTGTTCTGCCTCAGAAGCTCAAAGCATTGAAGCCTTGGGGAAAAGCCTAACACTCGGGCTTCTTGGATTCTCAGACGTGGGTCAGCACGTTGCTTTGTGGGAGCGTCTGTCCTACCATTGTGGGAATACAACTGCTTTCTTAAACGTAATCATTTGGCTTGGGATCCCATACCCGTCTCTTTTATAATTTATATATAACTTAAGTATCTGCTGTGATTTTTATTCATTTTCTTTTCTTGTGTCCGAAGTGTCAATAAAATGTTTTTGGTTTTTCATGTCTTTTGTTGCATTCTTGACCCGTTGGTTTCTATGTGTCCTCAGTATGAAGAGGCACGTGTGTACAGCATAGTGTGTAAAGTAATTTCACTGGAGGGATGCTAAAGCCCATCTCCTAGCTCATTCCCCCCAACTGATCGTACAGCTTCTAGTACCCACCACAATCGTCTAAACACAAACCATATACTAGGGCCAGCTGAGGTGGAAGCAGATTTACTGAGACTTTTCCAGGATAAAATCCACCCAACTTAGAAGAAAATACAAACTCCTATGCGGTTATATACCTAGTGGGGGATCTCAGAGCCTAACCCCTTCTCTACTGAGCTAATAAAAATACTTGGGCCTTTAATTAACTGGACCAAATCTTTAAGACAGTAAGCTATCTTTCTTCCAAACTGTTGAGATTTGGGTTTAATTGGCATTTAAAGTAACATTTTTGTTTCCTTTTGAGATTTCTATCTATTTTTTGCTTCTAGTTTGTCTCGCCAATGTAAATTCCACCTATTGCACTCTAGTGGGCACATACATTGGGTTAGTAGCACAGCGCTATGTAGGTGTGGGTCAAGGAGTAGTAGCCGGAATACAATAGTGCCTTGGTTCTCAACTGTAACTGTGTAATGAGCGGTGTGCCTCAGGGTTCTGTGCTGGGTCCCATATTGTTCAACTTATTTATTAATGACATCGGGGAGGGTGTTAACAGCGATATTTCCGTGTTTGCGGATGACACCAAAATAGGGAGGGTAATAGACACGGACTTAGACATTATAACATTACAGGAGGACCTGGATAAAATAGGGGAGTGGGCATTAATGTGGCAGATGAGGTTTAATGTCGATAAATGCAAAGTAATGCACTTTGGAATTAAAAATAAACAAATGGGTTATACAATTATGGGTATGCCGCTGGGGAAGTCAGAAATGGAGAAGGATTTGGGGGTCATTGTAGACCACAAACTGAAAGGTAGTTTGCAGTGCCAGGCTGCTGTAAACAAAGCTAGCAGGGTCTTGTCCTGTATTAAAAAGGGGATGTATTGCAGGGACAAGTCTATAATTTTGCCACTTTATAGATCATTGGTTCGACCTCATCTGGAGTACGCGGTCCAGTTCTGGTCACCAGTACTAAGAAAAGATGTCCTTGAGTTGGAAAAAGTCCAGCGAAGGGCAACCAAACTAATTAGGGGTATGGAGGACCAGAGCTACGAGACGAGGCTACTAAATTTAAACATGTTCACATTAGAGGTGAGGAGATTAAGGGGGGATATGATTTCCATGTACAAAATGTTTAATGGTGGTAGCAACATTAGCGATAAACTGTTTAAAATTAACTCCGTTACAAAAACTAGAGGCCATAACCTAAAATTGGTGGAAAAAAAATTCCAGCACAAGGTGCGAAGGGGGTTCTTCACAGTAAGATCAGTTAGGGTCTGGAACTCACTGCCACAGGCGGTGATTTCAGCAAATAATGTGGAATTGTTCAAGAAACTTTTGGACGATTTCTTAAGGGACCGTAATATACAGGGGTACGGGTACTCCTAGAATGAGATCCTAATAGGTTGGACTTGATGGACTAATGTCTTTATTCAACCTCAAATACTATGTAACTATGTAACTATGTAACTGGTGTGTCGTGACCCGAAAGTGGGTCGCGACCATTGTGTTCAATGGTTCCCTGCTTACCTTCCACTTTTCTAGGTGAGAGGCTACCTTGCCTCCCCCTAGGGCAGCACTGTCAGTTCTCACACTAAGCAGCCATTCAAAATATGCTGCCCGGCGCCGAGTGTCGGCTTGTTGGTGGGGTGGGCTGGGGCTATGGCTTTGAGGGAGCTCCATCCATACATGCATTGCATACAACTCCCTCATGTGCCTTTTTATAGAGGTGCCTTGACCGGAGGAACATCACATTCTGGCTCCCAGCACCTCTACGAGGCATGCAAGAGAGCTGTACAAGCAATGCACATATGGATGGAGCTCCGTCACAGCACAGCAACCCACACTGGACCCCAGACTGAGGATCCACTCCAGTTCTCGTAAAGTAGAGAGACTGGGCGAAGTCCAGTGTGTGTGAGAATGTGCAGATGTGTGTGAGATTGTGTCTGTGGTTGTGTATGTATGTCAGTGTTTTTGAGGGTCCGTTCACACTAGTACACTGCGTTAATCGCACAGTCCCATGCAATTGAACCTACCGTACGTTCTGGTATGGGAGGTGTGTTGGGTTGCCATTCATTTAAATGGTACCCCAAAACACAACTGCCACACACAGCTTGTACGCCCGCACTGGAATGCGCGGTCCCCGAATTCCGTGCATTCCATTGCAGTGTGAATTGGGTCGTGACTTAATGACCAAGGACAAATGTGGGTCCTGAGGTTACACAGGTTGAGAACCACTGGCGTAGTGCATACTGAACACACAACACCTTATCATAATACATGACAAATAGATCTTGTCGTTGCCAGTGGAGAGGGTTGTGCAAATCAGAGCATTTGTAGGACAGCAGACATTGGTGTACAGTGTTCAGACTTTTTTGAGGCAACCAGAAGAGAGAAGATCCCAAGGAATTGGCTCCCAATCTGGTCAACAGAGATAAACATGGACCAAGACGGTGAATAAAACATATTTTGATGTGTAATGAAGGAGGACTTGGATTTTAAGTCTGCAGGCTTTATAATGGCTTGCAGAGGAGACTACTTTGCTGAGAGTTAATACCTTAGAGACAGACTATAAAACAGCTTTTACTTGGTATACATAATATAATAAAGTACATTCCCAGAACAGTTAACTAGGAACCATTATACACCTGCTTATTCTCAATGATCTTATCAACCAATCACGTGGGAGCCGCATAGTGCATACAATCACTCAGATACAGATCAGGAGAAGATAATGTTCACATCACACTCCAGAATGGGGGAGTAATGTGATCTCGGCGGAGTGTTTGTTGATGATCATACATGTAAGAAACTGAAATTTGGACGAATATCGTCATATTCGGACATTCGGATGCATCTGAATTTCAGAATGTAAGAAATAACGAATCTGAATGTATCCGAATGCCTCAGAGGCATTTAAATCGTTTACTACTCCAGCTAAGCGTTAGGCTTGTGTGTGTCCAGCTGGACATTTTTTCATTTGTATCCAACATAATAAATTATTGGTGGTCAATAGGGACACTCCTAATTTAGATATACAGGTGAAACTGGAATAATTAGAATATCGTGCAAAGTTCATTTATTTCACTAATGCAACTTAAAAGGTGAATCTAATATATGAGAGAGACTCATTACATGCAAAGCAAGATAGTTCAAGCCGTGATTTGTCATCATTGTGATGATTATGGCTTACAGCTCATGAAAACCCCAAGAACCCCAAATCCACAACCTCAAAAAAGTAGATTATTACATGCAATCAATAAAACAAGGATTGTACATAGAACAATATCGGACCTCTGAAAAGTACAAGCATGCATATGTACTCAGTACTTGGTTTGGGCCCCTTTTGCAGCACTTACTGCCATTACTTTTGCACGATATTCTAATTATTCGAGTTTCACCTGTATGTAAGGGAAATATACAGTACATGAGATACCAGGACCAGTACTGAGCACTGAACGGAACAGCTGTATGTATAGTTTACACCATGTATTGTACACAGCATTGTATCTGGAAGGCAGTGTGTCATTCTGCTTCAGATGAAAGACTGGTGGATAAATCCATAAAATAGATAATGAACGTGTTCCTAAGTGGTGTCATTTTTCAGAGGACGTGTAACGGCCTATGTTTATCTCTTAAACTTACCAGGATCCATTGAAATAAGTTTTGCTTCTTCACACAGAAAGCCTCGAGTCTCTATCCATCCGGAGAAGAGAAACAGCCTCCAGTGTCCATCCATCTGGAGAAGAAACACAGAAAGCCTCCAGTGTCCATCCATCTGGAGAAGCAATACAGAAAGCCTCCAGTGTCCATCCATCTGGAGAAGAAACACAGAACACCTCCAGTGTCCATCCATCTGGAGAAGAAACACAGAAAGCCTCCAGTATCCATCCGGAGAAAAAACACAGAAAGCCTCCAGTGTCCATCCATCTGGAGAAGAAACACAGAAAGCCTCCAGTATCCATCCGGAGAAGAAACACAGAAAGCCTCCAGTGTCCATCCATCTGGAGAAGGAATACAGAAAGCCTCCAGTGTCCATCCATCCAGACAAGAAATATAAAAAGCTTTTGGTCTCTATCCATTAAGAGAAGAAACACCGAAAGCCTTCTGTCTCTATCCATCCAAAGGAAATACAGAAAGGCTCCAGTATCCATCCATCTGGAGAAGAAACACAAACAGCCTCCAGTCTTCACCCATCCAGAGAGGAAGCACAGCCTCCAGTCCCCATCCAACCATAGAGGAAACACAGGAATCCTCCAGTATCCACCATCTGGAGAAGAAACACAGGAAGCCCTCAGTCCTAATCCAACCAGAGAGGAAACACAGGAAGCCTCCAGTCTCCATCTATCTGGAGAAGAAACACAGAAAGTCTCC